CCTTTTTTCTTTTCTTTTGTTTCTTAAATTCCACATATGAGTGAAATCATACGGTATTTGTCTTTTCCTGACTGACTTACTTCACTTAGGATTATAGCCTCTAGATCCATCCATGGTGTTGCAAATGGCAAGATTTCATCCATTTTTATGGTTGAGTAATATTCCATTACACACACCACATCTTTATCCATTTATCAGTCAGTGAACATTTGGTGTGCTTCCATAATTTGGCTATTACAAATAATGCTGCAATAAAGATCAGACTATTAATTCCTTTAAAATTAATTTATTGAAAATGCCAACTAAAAAGTGGTTTACCTTATGTATCTAGCAAACTCTAACAGAACGCTTACTGTATGTCAAACACTGTTAGCTCTACGAATAACAACTAAGTTAAACCTCCAAACAACCCTACGGGGTAGGAACTATTATTACCCTGGAACTTCATGTATAAGGATACCAAAGCAGAAAGAATTCGTGAAAACTGAGCAACGTTACACAGCGAATATGTTACTGAGTTGGGATGCAAACCGGGTAATCTACTTTTATATCTGTGCACTTACCTATTAAAGCCCGCTATCTCTAAAATAAGTTATAATGAACATATTATATTTCAAAGAACTGACATATGAGCTACCTTGTGTTTTATTTGATAGGAGGGAATTTGTAACACTGCGAAGTATTACTTTTATCTTCAGACAGCGGCATTACTTTGTCACCTCTCAAAACTGAAAATTTAGCTTAATGCTGATGTGATATAAGCAAATTCTATGACAGATCTAAAATTTCGATTGTGTTCATGAATATTGGAAAGGATGTTTCAATTAGCAAACTGAATATGTGTGAATCGATAGTAGATTTTAACATATGAATGATTTATATATCATCTTAAATGTTTCATTAAGACATTCATTTCAGAAATTCACCCTCTGTAGCAGTGAGAAAAATTCCTGCCCCTAATAATTAATGGCTAGCAACGATGCTCCTGTCTTTGCTTGCCAATGGACATTACTTATGAAAGAAGGAGGATGAGTTGTCAAACCATGGTGGCATGCCCTTTGGTAGATTGCTGCTCTTTCTTATTCACAGGTTACAGATTGTGTAGAACCATAGAACAAGGTATGTAAGGCTGTACCAACAAATATTTGTTAAAACACAGTCTGTCAAAGCAATTTTTTAAATAAGTAGAGTAAGTAATGGAGTATTAATTGGAGGCCAATAGGGTGAAATTATGCTGCTCTAGCTTGCCAAATATATTACCTGTGTGTCAAAAAGAAGAGTTTGTGACCAGCATGTTAGTATTGCATGCCAATAATCAGAGCAGGTGGCCATTAGAGACTTTTGCTAGGAGCCAGAACGTTTTCCCCATGAATAGCTTGGGAAGGTCCAAACACTTACTTCTCCCTGAATTACACATTCTACTTCAGATTGTCAAGGTGCCTGTCCATAATGCCAAGGGGTGTTTTAGCAATTCTTTCACGGCTGAGAATGATTCACCATGATCAGAATTTTTTAATCTGTTTGATTGGATAAACTCAAAATCTCCGCTTTATTGGATAAATTTAAAATATCTGTTAGGTGTCTTCTTTCTTCTTTACAAACAGCATAATTGAAAGCATTGTTTTGGTAAAATCTTCCCAGAAGACCACATAATCACCATTTAAATTAGTCCTAATTCATTTTACATTTGCTTATTTTACTGTTAACTTTCCCAGAACTGTAATTTTTTTTTTTTTTTACAATTAGAACATCTGAATTTTAATTACATTACCATCAAGAAGCTCATTAAAGTCACTTAATTGGCAACATTTCCAAAAAAACCTTAGCTGGGTTTAATATATTTTAAAGAGTTACTGTCAAAGTATAATTTCACCATTACAAACAGCTTGGCAACAACATTTGCATAAAGATCTGTCAGTTTCTGAAAAATGCTCAAATGTTGGGAAAATCAGATTCGTTAAGTCTCCTTTACTGAAACAGTCTAGAAATGGAGAAATTGTACATACATTCCTCTTTGTAAGCCCTACAGTACCTAGAGTACTGCCATGCAAAGCATAAGTATTCAAAAAGTGTTTCTGGAAGGAAATAATTCATACATTTTATGCTTTTGGGTAGACTTAATATTTTTTTTTTCTAAACCTCAATGCAAGTTCCCTCATTTATGTTAAATTTAACAAAATACCCATTTTCTTACTAGTTCTTTCTCATTCACGTCAGGATATATGAGATAGTCACCTAGAATTTTGAAACCTTTTAAAATAGCTCTAAGGCTAGCATTGGAGGGCTAACATTTGAGGTCATTTTGAGATGATGAAATTTTTTACGGCTTCCTTCTTACACATGTTAGAATCCCACCCCTATAGCACTGATATCATTTGAACTTGCATTGTAGTTACATTCATTTTTCACCTTTATAAGGCTTTAGGTTTTGCCCATAAGCCTGCATTTTGTTTAATATGCATGTATTTTGGGGAGGTGGAGGGTCAACTTTAGTACCTAAAACAGTGGCTTGCAATTATATGTGTCAAATGGATGAATGAAAATCTCAAGTTTGTGATCTATGAAGCATGATGATAGTTTGCAGCATTAGTTAGGGTGTTGGGACACCCTCCTCCCCAAATCTCATATATAGGAATAAAATGTGGTCAAAGGATAATTATTACTACAATTCGCTTCCTACAAATAGAAAAGGAAAGATGTTTTTAATTTTCCCTTTTGGTTTGGTATTTCCTATTAAATCTTTCCCTTTGGTAATTTATGTATCTTTTATCTTCTACCTCAAAAGAAGAATCTAGTAAAGCTGTATAAAATGTGAACATTAAAAACAAAACAAAAACAAAACACCTGCCTCGCAAATTACTGCCTTGCTCTTCACTGTATCCTTAAAGTCTTGCACAGTGACTGGTATACAGATAGACTCAACAAATACTTGTTGAATGAATGAATGAATACATAAACATATGCTGAATGTCCTGAGGAGCACCTGGATGACCCTACCTGAGGAGGTCAGGGAAGGCTTTAGCAACAGTGATGGAGAAAAATGAATCTTCTGTGAACACAGAGGCATTCGCTCATTTATCAATCAGTGAGCTTCCACCATATGCTATGTTCCCAGATATGGTCTGTGAAGATTCCGAGGATAGCATCATCCAATAGCACTTTCTGTGATGAGGGAAATATTCTACATTTAATATCTACAATATTATTTTGTAGACCGTGGAGAATCCTGGAGGCTTCCACCTGGAATAATGACACAGTTCGGTTTGTCTTTTAGAAGTGGCCTCTGTGGCAGTGGGGACAAAGGCGTGAGGTGGGAGACCACTTACTGCATGTTGATATTAAATTACAGCTTTGCAAATTCCACAAAGGCAGAAAAGACATTGAAGGAACGAGATTTTCTTATTCTTTGCTCTTGCTCTGTTGTCTCCCTTGATAGGGTATCAGGAAAGAACCGTTGCTTATTCTTTTCCCCCAGTTGGGGAGAATGGATGATGAGAATATTACGAGGAAATCTTGGCTTGCTTCGGAGGCTGTTCCGCGCAGAACAAAACGAGGAGGTAATACCTTCTCTCTGCCCCACAGGGCATCAGCAGTTGCATAGATGTGGGGAGGAGGGGCGATGGCCCATTCTGAATCTGTGTGGGTGTTACCCAAGCCCCGTGACAAAGCACCCCTTCCTGAAAGGTGAGGTGGCTCTATGTGGCCTGCGTGGGAGACATGATTTCAGAAAGCAGTAGTGGAGAGAGAGCTGGACAAAGAAATATGTGACAATTCTAGAAGAGTCTGTGGTCTATGGTCTGAGGCCCCTTCCTGCTGTAATGCTCCATGCCTGGATTGGTTCTTCTGGTTCTAGAACATGAGAGAAGGGACAACGGTCTTCTGCCTGCAATGAGGAAGAATCAAGCTAGAGGTGGGGAGAAATCATCTAGAGCAATCTAGTGCCAGGGAACACATCAATGAAAAGTCCCCTAGGGAGTGGCTTCATGGCCACTTCCAACATTCATTTAAGAAATATCTTCGGTGACCTGGATCTTTTTAACTCTGTGGCAACCACAGTGATGGAAGCCTCCCATAAGTTTCTAATTGATGGGGACTGTTACTGGTGGAGTATCACCTTCGTGATTGCAAGCATTATGGCTTTTTTTTTTCTTTATTCAAAATGAGCTCGATAATGTGGAATTCAAACCCCAGAAAAATCTCATCGATACAACACTTTTCCTTTCTGGCTGTCAATCTCCATTTTATTTAATTTTTTTGCTGTTTTAGTTTTGTGTGGCTCAGTAATCTGCAGGCAGTTAGCATCACTGATTCTCAGAAGAGACACAAAATAGAAATGTTTCCAAATTTGAAGCATTTATTAAAAGGAGCTTGAATTTAAAATTCAGACTTTATCCTTGTCAAAGGCTTTTGGCCACATTGAAGAAATTTGGGAGAAATGTAAGAAACATTTCTTGGAGGGACAGCATAGAGTGTAAACATCAGGCTGACTCTGCAGAATGCATCTCAAACTTGATTTCTGAGCAATGCTTTTGCATACCCTGAGCTACTCATTCCAGCATCTGGAATTCCACTTACAAAAGTCCCAAACTCTTGGGTTCTTCTCCTCCATAACCACCTGATATTATTCGTGTGCTTGCTTAGTGTAAGCATTTTTTTTCTGTAATAAAACCAGAGTCTGAAATTAATTCACACAGACAAAATAATAGCACTTTAACTTCTGACTTTATTATTTTCCGCAAATAAACAGGTGATGAAACATTGTCTGCGTCCAAAGCAAAAGACATGGTTGCCTTTCCTCTTCTTTCACAGAGTGCCAGAAAATGTAAACAATCTTTAGGAGGTTGAACTTCTGAGTTTTAATTTTCTGCCAGCCTTTAGAACATCATTCATTTGTTTGTTTGTACCAGGATTTAACAGCAGAAAGAGTAAAACAAGCAAATGGTCGGAGGCATTTATATGAAGTGTTCAGACTGAGATACAGGCTTGCGTCTGCATCATTTTTAGTCGGACAAAGAAAAACACTGCTTTAGGAAGTGGGTCATGTGGGTGTATAAGTGCTTCGTGGACAGGCCGGAAATGCCATGGTTCTGGTCAGAGTACCACTGAAACACAAAGGACAGAAGCCTCTGTTACAACCACAGGCACATGATGCATCTAGCTTTGACTTACTCATGCTCTCAGGTCCTGGTAATTTTTCTAATATTGTGGTTGAAATTCTACTTAAGCACGCTTAAATAACTAAACTAGCTTACACGTAAGCATTTAGAACAGGAAGGTATGAAAGCCTTCTATTAACCCTCACTATTCTCTCACATTCTTTAAGCTGAGA